TGGGGGGGTGGGGGTCAGTGGGGGCAGCTCCACTCTAAAGGACAGTGGGAAGTATGATGGTGTTATAGCATAACAGTACTAGTACATTCTTTCACCCCTCCTCTCATTTTTCTGCCGTTGTGTTCCAGTTGAGGTAATACCTCCTCATCTAAGGCCACTGAGTGGCTGACGGAGGGAGAACAGAGGCATGTGGAGTTTCCATTGACCATGACATGCGTGGCTGAGAGCAACCAGAGCGACGAGAGTTGTTGTTGTGAGGCATTTTGCATAGCTATGGAGGAATCAGAGGCAATACCCAGCTGCAGGCCTTGACTGTGGTGCAATGAGGCTGTTGTATTGTGCAGCAAAACAAAATGGGAGCTTGTAACTGGCAGTTTTAGTTTAGCCACATGCATCAGTCACAAATACACATGCTGACCTAAAAGCAGTTAATTGATGTGACCGACATCATCACCAATAGTACTTGAACCCTTTTAGTTGAGGTCATGGACAATCGAAGAGTATCCCTACCCCAGTTTCTGTCCGTCTCTCTACCTTTAGACCCTTTTCTCTTTTGAAGAGGCACTCCACTGATTTTACACATGAAGATCAGGTTACTCTACATGGGGAGTGCTACTCAGCCTCTGAAAACTGTTGGATAATGTCTGGAGGGAGCTTGATTGTGTTCTGGCTGCCATTTTGGGAGTACCATGTTGTCGCAGTGGTATCTGGCAAAAAACTTCACAAATTTTGCTATGCGCAAGCTGTGATTTGTGACATGACATAATTTTTCCCCCTATTAATATTGACACGTGTAAAATGCCATACACCATATTGATGCATTAGAATGAGAGAACCCTGTGGCATTCACAAATTCATCTGCTGTTTGCAAGTGACAATCATACGTGTGTAACTTTACAAATCGCTTTTGTGACATTGGGCTCCTGGCTTAAGATTTCCTGCAACTAAAAGCAGCAGCATCTAGCAACATGCTGCAGTTGCAATCATATGTGCAAAATCTTTTCTTGCAGTATTTTAAACCTCTGGGCAGAGTTTTGGTCTTCAAATCATGGATGTAAGACGGCACCTGTTTCTCCCACTGAAAGTGGCTCGCCTGGCACTTAAACCAACTTTTTTTTTTTTTCTTTCAGGTTTGCATCCTGCAGGCCACTGCACATGCTCATTAGTGTTTCCCCCATTGCCCCCACCTGCGCTCCTGCTCCCTTACATTGGGATGACATCCTAAAAAAAAACAGTTTTTTACGTTTAGAAATAAAAAATCATCATAGCTTAAAACAATCATAATACAGAGAGTGATAATTGTCCTGGTCTGCAGTTTAAGGTGTCCTGTCAACAGTTCTGAAGACATCTCTTTTGTCATTGTTTATGAAAAAAAGCTATTTAGGCCACAGGGGGATTTTTTGTTGCAGTACTGCAAGTGGCCAATGGGGAAAAATTGGCTGAAGGGCTGAGTGGAGACGCCGTATCTAGCTCTCATAATGCATTCATGCTTCGAACATATGGATTCATCAGTCAGACCTCCTGGATCTTAATTTAATTGTCTTGCTGGTACTTGAAGGAACACGCCCGCACCCACACAGCTTGTTGCTTTGTTTTCACACAGTGCTATTTTGGATGAAGGCCCTTCAGAGTTAGAAACTGAGAACATGAAGTGTGAAAGCTGTGAGACTTTGCCAGGCAGGGAGAGTCTAGTGAAAGATGCTATCAAGTTCTACCATGGGAAATATAGGATTCATTGTTTTGGGGGCTTGACCCATACTGAGGACTTTAAGTCTGAGTATTTTGGCCTCTGTTACATTGATTTTGACCATTCTTTTTTCAGTCTGGCTCTTCTAAGTCCCCAAACTTTATCAGAGTGCAGTTCTAAATCATTGGCGTACCCCTTTAATGCTTCCATTTTTCCTTCAACTTAACTTGTTTCACAGAGTACTCCCATCCGCCATTTGACTACTGCCAGTTTGTCTTCTCTCTGTCTCACTGTCTTGCTGTTTCCCTCGCTCACATGCCTCTCACTCCCTCACTGTTTCTGTCTGTCCGTCCTTGTGCCCAGGTTTTTGGAGTTGGCGTGGTTCCTGTTTGTTTTCAGCCATTTTGGGGACTTGCAGTGCTCGTAACAAACTGCTTAAATGGCGTCCTCTTGCTTGCTAGCTCTCCCTCTGCTTCTCCCTCCCTCTCCCCATCGCTGGGCTTTGTGTATATAAAGTAGTGTGTGTGTGTGTGTGTGTGTGTGTGTG